TGATACAGATAAAAAGAGGAGAAGAGGTCACTTTTTCGCCAACTCTCAGTAGCTACTCCATAATCCAAGTTATGTATATATATATATATATACAATTTTCCAGTTTGTCCATTGGGTTCTTAGTGGAACATAGAGCTTCACTAGCACACCTCTACACACTCTCTTCTCTTCAGTCTTCTGAACCTCACTTCACGACTGTCTACAAGCTTTCATTTCTTCCTTACCTGATCTCCTCCATATCACCCAGGCCTCAGACGCCCAACTCGTCGTTTCCCTTCGGCTTCCACCGGAGTGCCTGGCGCGTGATGTCCCCAATCGGCCCTCTCAGTGTATACCCAATCCAATTCATCTCCACTTTCTCCTCTGTAGATTTGTTGCGCATAGGGTTTTTAGTAGGTTCGTTGCCAGAGTTCCTCGTTGCTTATTCTTTCCGGCCATCTGAAATTTAGTAACGAGCGTAGGCAGCTGTTGATGAATATCTGTAGTTTGTTGCGAATGCTTTTTGTAACGCGCCAAGTCTCTCAACTATACAGGAGCATTGAGTTGACTGAACTAGTGTTGAAAATTCGGATCTTGTGTGCGCGTTTTGCTGAGTACAGTAGATCTCAACACTGATTTCAGATTAAAGCAGCAAGGCCTGTCTTGCTGACTTTCTGATCCTGGCTTTGGCGTCCTTGTCATCTGAGCCACCACCGCCCCCTGTAGTTGAAAATATGCTGAATAGTTAGGTAATTGAAAGAGACGACTTCGTTTACATTTCTCTCGTTGGTGGTGGTTGGTGCTTGTTGTCAGTGTTGTTGTTGTTGTTGCTGTTGTTGTTATTGTGGATTTAGTATCTTCATCACCTCTGTCTTCTCTTCTTTCACTTAAGATACAGTCCTCACTGCCACTTCAGTCAGCTAGTTCGTTTTTACCTGTACATCTTCGAGCTTGTGCGACAACACAATAGACATAAGTCATCATTGGCGAAATCCAAATCTTCTAGGGTCTTTTCATTGGTCAAACAACGTATCCGCATCTTCTCGCTCCTCACAGTTGCCAGTTGCATGATCCAGTTCAGTCGACCACAATCAGGAAGATCATCGGTGATAGTAGGTGGCAACCTTATCTTACTCCTTCCTGTCTTCACTTCAAAGGCGTCACTGAACTTTGCACTGTGAATTGCTTGGCATGTAGCATCATATAGCAAATAGCTGTTGAATGAGGTTGATAAGATTTGTTGCATTAAAGGCGTAGTGTTGAAGCAGTTTCCAAATATCTTCTCGGTGGACGCTGTCGAAGGCCTTATCGAAGTCGATCAAGTTGAGGTAGAGTGTTGACTGCCATTCCATATTCTGTTCTATGATGATGGGTAGCGTAGCGTAGCGTTGCAATTTGATCCACACATGATTTGTACTTCATGAAGCCAGCCAACCAGCCTGTTCCGGTAGTAAGTTTGAATCCATCACATCTATAATCTCTCTAGGATGATACAGCCTAATATTTCTCTTGGGGTGGATAGGAGCATGATTCCACGCCACTTCTTATTCTTGGAAAGACTTGAGCCTCCATTCTTTGGGAGTTTGACAGAGCAGTGCTTCTTCCAATCAATAGGCATGTGCCCTTCCTTCCTTCCTCCCTTCCTAGCAAACCTTCTGCAGTAGTGATGTGGTGTGAGCATGTCCGCTGTTGCCTCTGCGTCTGTTTTCAGTGTTTCCGGAGGAATTCCATCTGGTCTTGCTGCTTTCCCGGATTTCAGCAGTTTTATGGTATTCAGGACTTCTGCTTTTGTCTGATGGCCTGTGTTTACTGGTAGTTCTGTTGTTGCTGGTGTGTTTCTAGACGAGTTGCAGGTGGTGGTCGATTCAAGAGTTTTCTGAAGTGGTCAGACCATCGTATCCTTTGTTTCTCCCCTTTGGTGTTAACTAAGCTTCCTTCACCATCTTTCATGGGTTTCATCTGCGTTGATCTCTTCACAGATAGAAAGTAAGCTGGTTATTTGATACAGTGTTGTCAGGTCTCACCTACCTGCAGCCTGCTCTGCTCCACTTGCCAATGTGTCGTAGAAGTGTCTTTTGTCTTCGCGCGCACTATTCCTCACTTTTTTGTCAAGTGTTCTATACGTTGCACTCAGTTCCTCTCTTCGTCGTGCATTCCTGCACTGCACTGTACTGCACTGGTTCATCTTTTGCTTCACCATCACCAACTTCCTCTCCTCTATCAGCTTCCATATGTCCGTCGAGATCCATTCCTTGTCTCGTTTCTTCTTTCGTCCTAACACGGTTATGCAGGTTTCCTTTCACGTATATTTCGAAGAACTCCAGTGCTTTTCCACGCCCAATCCTTCAGAGATGTTGCTCAATGTTCCCCTTTTGTCTGATGGCTGACGTGAAGATGTCCTTTGTAGTTTCATCCTTCACTTCAGTTTTCGTTCTGGGTGTTGAACTTGAACTGTGGTCTATCACCAGCTTATTTGAAGACTTTCAACTCGATTTTGAAGGCTGGTTCCTTGCATTAGATAGTGAGTAGTGTGAACCTACATCTGCTCCTCTTCTTCATCTGATTTTGTGTCCAGTAGGCTGCGTCTCCACCTTCTTGAGATTGAGATGAAGTCGATCTGATTTTTAGTGTGCCCGGGTGTCTGGTGAAATCCATGTCGTTTTGTGAATATCCTTGTGTTCCTATATACTGCCTCAATCACCAAATCGTTGAATGAGCAGAATTCTGCAAACAGTTCCTCCTCTCATTCATTTCACCAAGTGCTTCTCGACCCATGATGAATTCTCTTCCTGTGTTGTCCGCCCCCAGTTTGGCATTCATGTCACCCACGCATTAGAATGCATTTTGATGTCGCCAACTGGAGTGGGGTCTTGTCTAGTACTGATTGAAGTTGTCTGTGAACTCCTCCTTCTTCTTTTCACTTGCATTATTTGTAGGTGCGTAGCATAGCATTGAATGATTGTGACTTTCCTTCTTTTGAGTTGAATCTTGCTGTCATGACCCTGATCCTGGAGGAGATTGGTTCCCACTGCATGAGTGCCTTCGATGCTCTTGAGGACATCATGATAGCCACCCCATAACTCAGTGTGCTCGTGGTTGTTGTCTGGGTGACCGGATTCGATTATTGACTCTCCAGTTGACAGTTTGGAGAGTCCACTTCCATTCCATCTGCTTTTGCAAATTCCTAGCAATTCAATGCTATACCTTCTCATCTCTTTACAATCTGGCCAGCCTTGCTAGCCATCTTGAAAAATTGTGTGGATATTCTATGTGCGTTCGTTTACTTTTGCTTTCATTAACTGAAGAGAAGACATGTTGACCAGGTGGCTTTCCGAAGGCTTTCACTGCCTGGCGTCATTTCGCCTCTCCGACTCCAGAGAGGAATAAGTTTGATTTGATTTTTTATATTTGCTTTATGCTTTGAGCTTTCTTTAGCGGTTGGATTGGTTTTACGGGGTAGGGTTGCTAGCCCTACGCCCAACCTTCCCTCTTTACCAGGGCATAGGACCGGCTAGTAACTAGTGAACTAGTTACCTATGCAAGGTTCTCTTCATTTATAGGCAAACATAATGCAGAAACGGAGTACAAAATAATGTTGAATCAGCTTTCAAAGTTCTGTGTAAAAAACAGTCAGAGACACATAATGAAATTTTTAGATGCGACAGCCATATACAAATTGAAGCCTCCACTGTTTTCACAAAAACGTTTGTTCTCACACTGCAACTACCTTGGTAAAATTTGTTTCCCTACCGAGATTGGGAAAAAACTATTACACTTCTTTTTGGTATTAACTTGAGCCGATGCAACTGTGCGAGGTTCTACGTTAATTCTGTCAGTCAGTTAGTCCTTTTTATTCTCATTCTTAATTTTAATCCTCCATTATCTTGTTTGTTCTATTTGTCCTCATATCCTTCAGTTTTGTATGAACTAACTCCATCAGTAAATGTATGAACAGATTGTTCAAAACGTATTGCACAAATACATCCCATTGTATCTATATGGTGACTGAAGGTGAAATTAAAATTTTCGTGGCCGCAAATAAACGTCGTCTTCTAATTTTACTGTCTAAACCTCATTTATTTGAGATAATTTACGATTATACTTTGGAAAAACATCTTATTTGGTCAGTCACCTCACATTCTGAAGGACTCATATCCTATTCTGTTGGCTTACTGAAAACACTAACAAAGGAAATATTCCACTGTTTTCGGAGAAGTTATTTTTTTAGCAGTAGATGTTAAACTTCTTCGTTAAGTCAGTAAACCGACTCATAGTCAAATATACGTAGCTGGTATAAACGATCAGTCGAAATTATATTCGCCTGTTCATAAGACAATTATTAAATCCTCCTATAATGCTACTCGTTATGTTAAACTACTGCTAGATGCTGACCGTAAGACTAGTTGATATCAGTGACCCAAAAGCATCTAATCGCTATTTTGTTTAGAATATCATTCACATTTTGAATATCTTTTGAGCTATGAGTATTAACATCGTCTGTATGGTTCTGCATAAAACGAGACCAATCATACAATGAAGGTTGAATTTTGATATTGCTAAGCAGCGCTTACTATGGGTTAAACGGATACTTAGACGTCTAGTGGAATATTCTAATGAGCAATATGAATGGTTGGAAACCACCTGCATCGTAAACGATTTGAAAATTTATCATCCTATTTACAAATGCATTGACTTCTGCCTGGTATAAAGCTTAGAATCTATTTCAGTTGTCCTTTCATTTGTACTGCCCATTTTCATTAATTTTTCTAAACTTTTGAGAAAGGTAACGGATATAGGCTGCATCACTTTGTACTAGGTTAACCTGGCGCTACTAAGATCCGTATAGACCTTAGTTGTGTACTGACCAACATCAGAAACACTTTTTATCATGGTCAGCATATTGTTATTCACACTTATAGGTTGTTTATTTGCTTAGCACAACAAAGTATCTTCAATTATTTTGCCTTAATTCTTTATTTAGCAATTACTGTTTGTTTTATCTTCACATGCTGTTGTTTTAGCGACTTCACAGTTTGAATTATGAAAGGCCTTATTTGGATGTCTATAAACGACGTTATGATGAAAGTTTGTTCATCGTCTGTCATCATCCATTCGATCGATCCATCCGTTCAAATCACATTACGTGGTCTAGTTGGTTTCATGTTAACAAGATAGGCTTTCGACCATATCTACAATTGATTGAATCGCATATTAGAAATTGGACACGAGAACAAGAGGCAATCTATGAAGCGGCTAAGCTGAGTTCTGAAATTCTACAAGCAGATGACAACGTAAGTCTGGATTCTGATAGTCCATGCAGAAATTCACCAATATGTTGAGCACGGAATGTTATGTGAATAATTTTTGTTATTTTATGATTGGAGGTTTTGACTAGACACTTGGTGAAACAGGTGTATACAGTTTGTAGATGATGTACTGACGAGGTAACCACTGTGTCGAACGTCTTAGAATAGACTTTCGGTGTTCCATTTTATTTCATTCGACAGAAAGTAGCTGACTGGTGATAATGGCTTTAGCTTCGATGTGAAACATAAAAATCTTGAATGCGAAGGGATTCCTATCTACTTGTCTGAAAGGCAATGTGAAATTAAGACTTTAATAGAAAAACTGCTGACGTATTTGACAGAACCAGTAAAAACAATTTTTAATCTCTCGTAAATTTTTGATTAAGTCTGTTTAATTTGCATACTGAATTATTCAATAGGATAAATACTGAAGTTCAGTTTAAAAGACCTGTACATACAGACAGAAGATATCATCTTCAAGTGAGCAGGTGGAAAAATTCAAGTATACTCTGTTTGACTGTTGATATAAATGTATGAATAGTAAATAGAATGGTAACAGCATCTTGACTAAAAAACTTAGCAAAGCCTTACGTAAACTTGAAATGAACGAGAATCTATTGATCTGTTGACCTAACAAAGGCTCAAGGGTGGTTGGTATGAACATAGTGGAATAACTTGGTAATATGAACACCTCAAAGTCAATATCAGAAGTTATCGACCAATACTGACTAAAAGTCAATTATCTGAATCCCTCAAAATAGTGAAACTGCAAGGCTTCACCTCACAGTGATTACGAAACAATAAGACCTACTGGTACAGCAATACTAAGATTATATGGTTTACCGAAACTGAATAAAAACAAACCACTTTTCCGACCAATTCTTCAGACATCAAACTATTCATATCATGTGACTGCAAAATGGCTAATACAACGCTTGCAATCATTGTATAAGGAAATTGTAAAGCAAAGCGTTAAAGATACTTATCAGTTTATAGAAAGGATCAAACATTTGAATGTGAATAATAAGCTTATGAGAACCTTAGATGTATCTTCTCGATTCACAGATGTCCTCTTGACGGAAACAGCAGATTTCATATATAGCGAACTGACGGAGAGAAATATAGAAATCGGAATTACACCAGCCACCTTGAAGGAACTCATGAGATGTACTATTAATGTACACTTTCTCTTCAACAAGGAACTTTACAGACTGTCAGACAGTGTTGCTATGGAATCACCATTAGGTCCAATCCTACTGAAATTAAAAAATAGCCCCTTTGATAAATAATAAGCTAGTTAGGATTTTACTGCGGTTACATGGATGATAAATTTTCACTTCTGAAGAAGGAAGATGATCCAAGTACTATAGTGGATATATATTTTACCACCCATTCAGGGATAAACTTCACCATTGAGAGAGAAAGTAACGATATGATCACCTTCTTGGATGTCCGACTGAGAAGGAAGACTGATGGAACTTTAAAAAAGAGTGTAAGTTGGAAACCAATGTCAATCGGTCAATACACTCATTTTTTTTATTTTCATTCCTTTGCAATATAAACGAAATTTAGTCAGCTGTTTTGTCCATTGGGTAAGAGAGCTGATCAGATGACGTTTTCGATGAAGAACTCCAAATTATCCGCGACCTACCCAGTAGTAATTCATATCCAGAAAATTTTATAGCTAAAAATATGAACTTATCTGGTATAAAAACGAGAGTACCTAAAGCTTACAAGGAATCACTGTTTCCAAGACAACAGTTTGGAGTGAAATCATTAGAGAAATTGTAACACACCGCCTGAAGAATGCTATAAGGAGGTAATTTAATGCACCAATTTAATGCTGCACACTTTACTGTCGGCCAATAATGACTTCGCAAATCAAAGACAAACTACTTGACGTCGCCTCCTCTATGTGCACTTACCAGTTCTACTGCTCCTGTGAAGCTAGTTACATTGGGCATACGGTTAGATAAGTTTATCTTCGAAACGCAGAACATCATCCATCATAGTTAAGTAAAGGGAAAACAAGATCGGTAAGAAGCTCAACATTCTTTCATCTGGTAGAAATTGGTCATCGAGTTAATATCCACAATGCCTTTAAGTTTATTTATTACATTCCTTCTAATCCTACTACTACTCTACGAGTTCGTCTATTACATACAGTAGAAGCCATCTTGATCCACTTGAACAACACCAGTCTGTGCGTTCAACAGAAATATGTATAGCCTATTTCTTTGCCCTAGGCTTTTGTATAGCCTGTCCGTACAAATCAGTACCCTCTCATCCATTCATCTCACGAATGTGTGCAGTTATTATTATTACAGTTTTAGCCATTTTGCTCTCCCCGCTTTTTATCACTTATTACTGTCAACAAGTGTGCACTTGACATAAGATTTCGTTTTCTCTTCTCTTCATGCTAGTTACTATTACACAAAGTATCAATTGTGTAACAAAGTGCATAAAATTTCATTAACTTTACCATGTATTCATTCTATATTTTAGGTAGTTTTAATCACCTTGATTAATTATTACCCACTGATACTTTGAGCTTGATAACATATTATGCAGTAATTAACACCACTAGACTGGTTTATAATTTTATGTTACGGGAGTACTATATATTAGTGAAGAGGCACTAAAGAGGAACTAGTTGGGAAGAAGTAATTCTTTGCTCAAAATGTTTGTTTTTGGAAGGTCTAAATAAGAATTTTCACATTTCTTGACATTTTGATGCACACGAATGTAAGTGCAATTGATATAACAAAATACTCAATAACTTGTTCTTCTATTAAACAAGCTACAGTATGTCGTAGGAAAGTGACCTGACAAATGTACTGAGAGTTCAGCTTGTAAAAACAGGAGATTTAGTACTCATTAAAAAGTTGACTTAGTTTTAAAGAAATTATGATAGCCGAATTTTACACAAGCAGCCTAAGTTCCAAAGTAATTAGTATCGTGAGCAGGTGTCATGTTAATAAGTACTAAGAATCAAACAGCTTTGTCAAAGAACTCCAAGCAATGCACACCTTACTTTTACTGCTAGGATTTGTATCACTGCATCTATTACCGTCACTTATCACCATAACTGATGGAATGAAAAAACAAAAAGGTTTGAAATCGAATGACTGCATGGGTACATGACATGAACATTTAATTTCATGGGTTAAAATAGTTTGATAGGTTAAAAGCTAATCATCATTCAAGCAGCTATATACTTTTAACAATGTTTGTACAGATACCGCTAGTCATAAAGTAGGTAGTGTAGATAAGCGGCTGGAATTAGCTTGCGTGTGCATTTTTCTCCTAGTTCATTTACCAATCCTATTGTTCTCTTTAATCAGTTTGTCTGACCTGAGCAGACAGAAAGTGCATATATCAGAACTTTCAATACAATAGATTTAACCAAAAAAACTGCAGTCATATGAAGCATTTAGAAAAATTCGGAATAGTATTTTAATATCAACTGGTAATGAATTCCCGGATCAAAAAAGCTGTGTAAGAAATCATTTCAAAAAGTTGAAAATCAGTATAGGGAACGGCAAAAATATGTTATTTTGTTCATTATCAGTGTACAGATCTTTAGAAGAAACTCTAAATCTCTGGAATCTTTCATAACCGATTAATATTCTCCGAAGTTAAGAAAAAGGATAACTTATCGTACATGCGAATATAAGATGGATTGAAGGGATAAAACCAATTATCAAAGCTGTCTTGAGGAAACGTCTGGAATAACCAAAGCCAGCATATATATACCTTTAAGCCACTATACTTTGTAAATAGTTTGATGCCGGAATATACCTTATGTAGTCTAAAAAACTGATTAGCCATCAAGTGTTCACATACCCTACAGGGCTTCCAGCCGACTGTCTCCAACCAACTAACATCTACCAATGTGAACAGCTTTACTGAGCCTCCCGGCTGGGTGACCACATTGGGAATACGATCCAAAGAATGCAAAACAAGAAAACATGAAATTGATTGCTTTCCTGTGACCTATAAATGTAAATCACCATATATCCTGTCATACTCAAAATCAATAATTAGAGTTAAAGGTTGGGAGTGTAAGTAAGAAAACTAAAAGCGTAACGGTAAATCATAAATAATAGTTATAAGCAGTAGTTCTAACAATAAAACAAACGAGTTCAAAAAGGTTCATAAAATAGTTATCAGAAAGCAAGAGATCCTTTAAAAATTCTAGCAAACAAAAGTGATACCGACGTTCAAATACTTGACATGTAGATTCCACTTATAAACGTAGAAGAAGAAGAGAATGTTCTGATTTAATTTTATTTTCAGATGATAGTCTTAGTCGTTCACAGCAGACGATTTAGTTTGACCTATGGTACATATATATGAACATTTGTGATCTGATTAGGAAATTATCTTGTCATAATCCTAAAGAAAGATGACCTAAGTCTTTGCAAGAAGTGGCATGGAATCATGCTCCTATCCACCCCAAAAGAAATATTAGGCTGCATCATCCTGGAGAGATTATAGATGTGATGGATTCAAACTTACTACCGGAACAGGCTGGTTGGCTGGCTTCATGAAGTACAAATCATGTGTGGATCAAATTGCAACGCTACGCTACGCTACCCATCATCATAGAACAGAATATGGAATGGCAGTCAACACTCTACCTCAACTTGATCGACTTCGATAAGGCCTTCGACAGCGTCGACCGAGAAGATATTTGGAAACTGCTTCAACACTACGCCTTTAATGCAACAAATCTTATCAACCTCATTCAACAGCTATTTGCTATATGATGCTACATGCCAAGCAATTCACAGTGCAAAGTTCAGTGACGCCTTTGAAGTGAAGACAGGAAGGAGTAAGATAAGGTTGCCACCTACTATCACCGATGATCTTCCTGATTGTGGTCGACTGAACTGGATCATGCAACTGGCAACTGTGAGGAGCGAGAAGATGCGGATACGTTGTTTGACCAATGAAAAGACCCTAGAAGATTTGGATTTCGC